AATCGATACCACCAGTGGAACTCTCGTGTCTCATTTGCATCGTAAAATTCTAAGAAACAGGACAGCAATGGAGAACGAAGAAAGGAGCAGCCATGGGGGACGATGCAAGCAAGGCGAGCGCACGCATCCTATCTGTGAGGTCAAAACGATTGCAGCACTGGCCTCTCTAGAGGAGGCCCTCGCGGCTAATTGCGACCTACCCTTCAAAGCGAATGTTAAGCCTCCACCAGATTTCTAAGCTAGTGTCAATTCTAAGGAGATAGGGCCGTAGGCATCAGCTGAAAGCATTCTAACATCGTTAGTTTTGAGTGCTTTTCAGGAACCAATCACATCTGCAGGTATTTTACTTCAGCAAGAATGAATATCTAGAGTCCCTAACTGAATAATCGGCGACATTTCCTATACGCAAGAAGATATAGGGTGTAAATGGCATAACACAAGAGAACATTTTCCAGGTGTTTAGGGGCATTGAGCGAGAGAATGATATCTTGTTTTATGTAATAAATATAAACCTGACAACTACTTTTCTTGTCCTAGATTATCAAAACCTTGCTTTCGAATAATGATCATGATGTGTCTGCTCAGCAAACGCAACAGTGCACTTCCTTTAGTATTTTCGCACAGGATTTCCAGAAAAGTATTTCTTAGTTGAATACACAGCAGAAAGAATTGTATAATTAAAACCTTAATCAGCTTCGTGCCTTTTTTTACAGCAGTACTGATGTGACTCATATGATCTGTATTCCTGTGTTCGTCAGCTTCATTTTTTTCACGGCTGCGTTCTGTCATTGAATGCCATTTGTGATTAATGGCATAATTTATTTAAAACAGTGCCCTTAAAATGAACCGTGGCCAAGCCAAGTACTGCGTAGGCTATTCTTAAGTTAACGCTACCAGCGTTCGTATTATGCCATATTTTCTCATCGATTATAATGGTACGTGTTTTTAGGAGTATTTGTCATGAAGGCGGCGGTTCGCCTATATTCTCAATGACAATACCTTTTTTGTGGTCTTCCTAATATTGCTCCCCAAAGTCGACTTTTGCTTTTAGCGCATCTTCTGTGGTGCCTAAACTTTGTAAAGAGAGCTTGAAATTGTAACTTATCCACTTACGTAGGCTATATTTAAAGGCTGATAAATTTGCTATTCGCCATAAGCTCTAGATGGGAAAATGAATCCTGATATCCCCCAATGTTCATATAGTTCAGACACTGAAGATCCAGTTGTTGCGCCCCGGAATAACGCAAAAGAAATAGTCTAGGTTATAGATGCTTTAGGGGACAAGGCACATGTGTAGACATTTCTATGAAGTATAGGTTATTGGTCTTATACGTAGTAGGAATCAAAGTAGAAATAAAAACATGGTACTGCTTGTAGTAAATGCGCCAATGTTTAGGCTTATTTGCCTCATTTTCAGTTTTGACTGGTTACCGTGCAGGATTCACGCACTTGAGAAAGAACAAGAGGATTAAAAAAGAAAAACAAGGAGCAAGGGCTCGGTGTGAATCCTGCGTCCTATCCAAATATAGGAGAGATGGTCTGAGCACAAAGACAGTGAAACATAATAAAGAATAGGTAAGTGAAGATTTCCCGTGCTTATCTCATCTAATAACGACATGTATTCCGTAGTGAAGCTCAATGCACCATAGTGAAGGTCAATATTACCTTCAAAAATCGCAGCACTGCTCGTTGCGAGTGAGCCCCGCCACGAAGGTATATTGGCTAAGCTACTCGGCTGCTGATCCGCAGGTCGCGGTATCGAATGCCGGTTGTGGCGGCTGCGTTTCCGATGGAGGTTGAAATGTTGTAGGCCCATGTGCTCATATTATGGTGCACGTTAAAGAACCCCAGGTGGTCGAAATTTTCGGAGCCCCCCACTACAGTGTCTCTCATAATCATATGGTGGTTTTGGGACGTTAAACCCAACATATCAATCAATCATCATCATCATCATCGTTGCGAGTGAGACGACAAGTGTTATCGCCGAGCCATATCGCCGAGCCATTAAAGAATAATCACTTCACCAACCACGTGGCCTAAATATGCAAGCAGTACCTGTATTTTGATCCTAATCATGGCCACTCTACAAGAACTTGGCACCACGCTGCAAGCATCAACGTTCTGCCTGCCTGCCTGCCTGCCTGCCTGCCTGCCTGCCTGCCTGCCTGCCTGCCTGTCTGTCTGTCTGTCTGTCTGTCTGTCTGTCTCCAAGTTCAGCCAACAGCCCAATGTTTAAAGGAACACTGACATCAAATTTACTCATGCCAAGATTTTTGCGCCAGCGAGTAGCTATAGACTCTGTAGCAACGATTCGCGACCTAAAACACAACTGAGGAATGAATACCTATCTCCTTTATTGATTTATATTACTGGAATCTAGCACTATTAAAAAACGGCCGGCGATCCCGCCATTTTTAGCGCTGGGAGCACCAGCAGTGGCGCTACCTCGCGGTCACCACCAGGTCACACCACAGCTGACCACTTCTCCACAGAAAAGAGTGACGTCAGGCTCAGCTGCTCCACAAACATTTCGTCTACTAGCCGGACACATTCAGTCATACCTTGTCACCTGCATAGCTGTCGTCGCCATACAGAGTGTCGACTCGGGTTCAATACGATAGTCTGGAGCTTGCAATCCCCGCGATTCACGGCGTCGCGAATTATGTTTGCTTCGATCGACCTTTTGCAGAACAGTGATTTCGAAATGGACGCCGTTCCAAGCAGCACTGCAGAGGTGCCCGAGGATGCACGCTTCAGCCTTGTTCGCTCGTGTGTCTCAGCTATTTTGGTGTGCTTTAGCGCGCAAAGCATTCAGGTATACGCAGAGGGGTCAATGCAATATAGCTATCACTAATGAGCATCAGCGGAGAAATAGAAAATGTTTCCTGCTTGTCAGGTTCTTGTTTGTGCTCCAGATGGCCTCACCTATCCAGCCTCTCGTGGTTAACACGGTATTACCACTTTTACACGGACGCAAAGCCTACGGATGAATTAAAATTCAACGATACATGCAAGTTACTTGTTAGCGATAATATCTGACTACACGATCTTCCACTTTTGATAGCTTGTGGTCGTGTTGATGTGTAACACATACGTGATATGAAAAGACACCCTCATGGCGCTTTATCCGTGCTTCGAACTACACGATTGCAACTCGCCTGCAACTCACAACAATTCCCCGACATGCCGACTGACAAGCGCACGTTTAAGCATGCTCTTTTCTTTCGTCATTATTTTAAAAGTAGTTTTCATCTTGATAGTTTCACAAAATCATTCAAACTGGTGCGATGAAGATCAGACGCGACGAGCCATGGCCGGGCTAGACTGCACCTGCGCGCGCTAGCCCGGCCGTGGATGAGCGAGTGCATTTCTGCACCTCGGCGCCAGTCGGCGCCACGATAAGAACACTCGGATCGTACACGTCATCGCTACTGGGGCACCGTCACTCAGGATGGTATTTGTGTAATGTATCACACCGAACACGTAGCACTAGCGTCGATGTCGCAGGGCAGTCAATGTTTCGTTTTTTCTTCTTAGCTTTTCTGTGCTGTTTGACATCGAATTAAAATAATTTCCACGTGACGGATGCCGTTCAAACTCGGCCAAGAAGCCTTATGCATACCAAGTGATCGAACGATGGGCACATCTTGGTCTTTAAATTTGATGTCAGTGCTCCTTTAAGCACTTGCTGAACGCACAGCCATCTTGAACTCATGGCTGTAATCACGCTTGTGAAAATCAATAAAAAATCAAATATACGCATATCTCTGGCGCAACATGAATACGCAAACACTTGGGGATGTGTTCCTTCACTAGAAAATACAGAAACGTAATTCTATGAACCTGAGTGTTTCTTACGCTGCGCTAAAAATGTGACGCTATGCACAAAAAAGCGCTCTAGGCACTATATGGTGCTGCCACATGGTATTGACTCTGGGTTCGGCACAAGTTATTGTTTCACGACTGCAATGACAGGTGGCGTCCCTATTTTAATAAACCCAGCCAAGTGCGGTCGATTCAACGTAGCGGAGGTGCTGTTTGAGGCATTACGGGTTGCCGAAGATGACACCAGGGCTGTCGTGGAACGGCCGGTAGAAGGGTATCGTTTTTCTACGGCATTTGCAGAAAATCCTAGAAACGCGCAGCCAATTTTTTTCTTTTATACACTATCTCTCGCTTGTAGAACTCAGGGCACCCCGGCCTATACTATCAATTTGGGCTTTGTACGGAATTTCATGGTGATGGCCACTACAAAACTATATCTGAAGTTTTCACTTGTTTGCTGTTTTAGAAAGCTCACAAAATCTCTTACGCAATGGCATAAGACAACTTGAATGCTGATTTCACAATGTTCAATTTTTTTGCCTTCAATCACTGGGGGACGAGAGCCACTTTCTTTTCTCCTTTTTTTCTAATCACCCACTATGCAACTCTGCTGCACCCAACGTGGATCAGTATACATTCCGGGATTAGTACCTATTTCTGCACCTTAAATGAATTTACACTGCCTCTGCATTCGGCCCAGCTCTGGTGAAGCAATTTTGGCCGGGAATGAGCTTACAATATATTATGCTGGGGCTCTATAATCACGCCACTGAGACGTCTGAAATTCAGAAACTTTTCAACGTCTTCAGTGATGCAAGGTTACATTGACTCCATACTTACATTATATTATGACAACACAAATCTATTCACTGTAGCGTAACGTAAGTCTAAACCAAATTTTAACACTTTACCATTTACCCTTTTTTACAATATTTATATTGACGCCGAGACCCACCTGTGTATGTATGATCTGGTGCCACAAAATACAAAAAAAAACTTCAGCACTCACGACGCGTATACGTGTTTCGTACTCTTACAAAGCATGCGGTAATGAGCGGACACATTTTTATTCCATGGTAATAGACTGCTGTTGTGGTGACAAACCTCTGCCACATTGCTTACATAGTTGAGAGATGCATTTATTGATTTCAGCAACGACGATTAAATCACGTCTCTGACATGAACGGCGTGTTTTATTGCACATTTCTAATTTTCATGCCCCAAAACTTCGTCGAAGAACCTACGATGAGGTTTGATTAACTGCGCCTCCATCTTGCTGCATCTGTTGCGGTACCACTTCTTGCACCTGTTGCGGTACCTCTTGCGGCACCTGTTGCGGTACCTCTTGCGGCACCTGTTGCGTTGCTTCTTGCCCCTGTTGCGGTACTTGTTGCTGCACCTGTTGCGGTGCCTCTTGCGGCAACTGTTGCGGTGCCTGTTGCTGCGCTGATTGGCCATTTTGAGTGTAATCTTGATATGGAGTTTGATAAGCAGCTGCAGACTGATGGTTGGGGCGGCTTGCAACCGATTGAATAGCACCAATGGCGCTCCCCACACTTTGAGCGAGAGGAACTGCGGAACCTGGTTATTCAGTAGTAATTAGTGTTTTGTTTTCACTTTTATAAACAATTAAACAATTGAGGTACGCATGATTGTCGAAAGCATTCCACAAGTATGGGTACCTTTTATTTTTTTCTTCCTGAGTTCTATTTAACCTAGCATAAATATATCTGCATTCATCACTGTTGTGTGCTGACTTTCAAGAGGACCTTTGTTCTCGAGCGACCCCGACCGCCTAAGCAGTCAGTTTTCACTCGGGTTCAAAGGTGCTTTCGAAAGTAGGGACGCAACATCTATATAATAAATGAAAGCTACACTAGATCTTTATTGCACAAAAACATTAGAAGTATTCATATTGTACGTTGTTAAAAGTTATGTAACCTGTTACCAGCACCAATTTGAAGCGTTTAACATTTTAAGCGCCCATTTCTCTCATATATTTGACAGACGTTAGAAAGAGGAAGTATTAACGCTCGAAGTTCATGAAGTTTGCTTCAGATACAGGCACGCTGCAAATATGCAAACAAAAGCTGTGAATGTTAGTGGAGTAGCGCTAAACGTACTCTTTCACTTTAAGAAGCAATAGCTTTATGGAAACAGATGCAAAGATGCAGTCGTATAAGTTAACTGCATGTGCAAGTGATTTCAGTGTTTCCTATGTGTGTGTGCAAATGTATTACGTATCGCTGAGTAATACTTTGGGTAAGCACATAAGAGTCAAGTATTGCCAACCATGTCAACACACACGCTCACGAAGGTCCAGTAATGAAGTGAAGTTTTGGGCAGTAATGCAGGTGAGTACGAAGAAATGTGGACATGACTCAACATGAATAGCTGTATCGATACACGCTTGTCGTGTGTCCAAAAGCACCTTAAAATAATGTAACTCGTGTGCTGACAATGGAGCGCACTGCACTCTAAAGCAAATAAATATCGACTGCGTAATTTTTTTAACGTTAACTCAGATCGGGGTTGCCATCACGTCTGTTCATGTTTTATTGCTAGGTATCATACAACAAAAAACTCGAATTAGAACCTAGCATTTTGCAAAGTGAGTACGAAATGACATCTTTCCTTGTTTCTTTAGTTATTAGTTAATGTATTATTCATGAGCGCACTCTTTATAGGTGTGACATGACATAAAAAACGCGCGAACACGTGATTTTGATGTGTAGAAATAATGTGTAGTCATCGACTCTACATTCGGTCTGCAAAGGGTGGCTGTCAAACTATACTCATACAGTCAAAATGACCATGCCTACGAATTCTGTGTACTATAAGCTCGGGCGCAAACACATTTTCCATCCTCATATCTAAAAGGCTGAAAAATATAATTTATCAGCGATAATAAATATTTTATGCTATCAAAACTTTAATCAAAGCATGAGGTTCATTGGTGGCCAAGTGAGCAAATAGACAACACGATGATGTCCTTTACTTGTCTTGCTCACTTTGGTTGCTCGTTAACTTAACAAGAAAAGAAAAACGGCAAAGTGGGCGTGCTGGACCGTGCGCTTCAGTGTAAATATTCGCCAGGAGAGATGCCGGCAAAAATATATGTAGTTTTGTTAGCTCATTTATGAAGTGTTTCTTTTATTTGTCTCTTTAACACTTTGTGTATTTAACGATTTGAAATATCAGGAACGTAATCTCTTGTAAGCTACAAGAAATTTTGCCAGAACTGTTTTCAATATTGTTTTTTCTATGATAGAAAAGCCGTGATACTCGATTCTATGTTCCCGATAAAAATACCCGTTTCGCTGGCAAGACGTACTTGGGAGGTTGCAATACCAAAAAAATTCTTCGTAACATAGCCTTGTTCAGAGATACATAGCTTTCGGTCCCTGAACCTTTTCTGTGTGTACAACTGATAAGCATGCTAGTGTCTGCTTGCATTGATACGCTCCTCCACGCATTATGAAGCGCTGCGCTAAACATGCTCTGATTAGAATTATGAACGAAAAATTACTCATATTCGGATTCATATACGAACCTGCAAGAGATCCCATAAGTCCACCTGCTCCAAGCATTCCAGGCATTCCGTACATGCCAGCCATGCCAGGCATGCCGTACATTCCGGTCATTGCGGCCATTGGATTCATTGCGCCCATTGCATTCATTCCGCCCATTCGAGCCAAGTTAGGCAGAGAAGTTCCAGGGCTTGCAGCTGGTGTAGAAGACGCTGCAGATCCCGAAGCTTCTGTAGCTTCAGGAGAGGAGCCATCTCCAGGAGATTTTGTTGATTCCTGTGATGAAGGGCCAGCAGAAAGTTTTGAAGTTGAAGTCTTGGTTTTCGTAGACGACGCTTTACCAGAAGCCGGTCTAGGTCTTGGTCTTGGTCTCGGTCTAGGTCTAAGTCTCCGTATCGGTAGAGGAGCGGGTTCTGCACTAGCGCCATAAGTCTTTTCGTCGAGCATTATACACAAAACAATGGCACAAGTGGCCACAGAAAGAATCATACGAAAGCTCCACGTCTTCTCCATCATTATTGAGTGTGACAAGCTTCTTGGTCTCCTAGTAACGTGTCACTCTTATATATACGGTTAAGAAGATTGCACGTGGGCAGAAAAAAACGAGAAGTCCAATTGTTATATTTGCAATCTCTCTTCTAGCGTGGATGTTTCTCTGGCAAAGATGAAGGGTATATAATTGTTTTCTAACTTCCTTACCATTAATAGCAACAAAATAAAATATTCAAAGATTAAGATAAATTACTGTAAAGAAATAAAATAGTACACTAGTGCCATCTTTAGTCAAGACAAAAAGAATGAAATTGCACATGGCAAATGAACTTTGTTGGAAGCGCTGAGGTGGAAGAGTGATATCAGCAGCAGTAATAAGTGATACGTGTTCTACGGAATTCCATTATCATTACACTTCTCTCCGCACAAGAATCATGGCGGCACGTGTGCTCTTCGTGTAAAACCACTGATGGCTTGTGTTGAATGTAACCACTGCGCACTCAACATTGAATGTACGTTTAGATTCTTCGAATTCCACTCTTAAATTGCACCCTTTGCCGGATCATTTTTTGCCTTTATACTAAGGCTTCTCAGCGAAGTGAAAGCTCATAGGGCCCCTTATGCACACACCTGAGATGATTGGAAGACGGAATCCATCCTCTTTTTCTTCTGAGTCGTTTGTTTTTTCTGCCCCACCACATTGCAAAACCTGTCTGTACCTAAAATGCTTTTCAATTCCCACGAGAACCGAAGGCACATAAACAGGTTTTGCGCTGCTTCCGTGACGTTTCCACCGTTGCCCAAGCTACTGTATCGAGTGCTGACGTCATTGTGTGACGTTCCGCTATGTGACGTCATTACTACAGCACACTGACATCACAATAACATTACAAATTTTGGTTATCTGCGACGTATGCTTACGTGATATGGTGAACACCTTGCGATGACTATTATTTGCATAGCTGATGTAGAGTGTGACGGTTGATGCGAATGCGGGACGTTGATCAATTTTTCTGTTTTATGAGTCATCGAAGGATTCACCTAATATATTGGTTGAAAAACAAGCTACGTTTCTCTGAAATCAGCGAGTTTTGTAGCGCATCTGCACCTCCACCTGTTAGTTCCTCCGCCGAGCACAGTTGCAGCCAGTGTATACATAATTCGCCAAATCTTCCTTTGTCGCATAAAGGTATATCGAAAAAGAGGACTGTCCCACCGGTAATGTTGATGCGAAAATTCTTTGAAACATTAATTTCGCAGTGGTTTAGACAAAGTCTTACGCACAGGATTCAATATTTTTTTCTTGGCAATATTTTTGTTTTGTCAGTTCATTATTATCGCATCTTTCAATAAAATCTGTGATTTTTAACATTCTTCTTGTTGCAATAAAAGAAAATTGTGAAGTGATCAACAAAAATACCTTGTTTATTTCACTATGATGCTGTAACAGTAAATAAAAATATAGGGAAATAGGAAAGCCCGCTGCTAGATGCACCACTTTTCGGAACTTGGCTTCAGTGACACTGTTTACTCAAGAATTTTTCGTTGCTACAAGCGTATCTCATCGCACTCTGATCGGTACAAAAAGTACCGTGATGAGGTAAAATGAAGTTACCGCTTATAGCCACTGCTTAGAGCTGAGTAATAGGAAAAACAGCAAACAGGCATACCTATACCGACTTCCTCTTTTAAAATAGCGGTGATGTATGCCACTATCCACCAAGACTTAACTGACGTACTTCTGTCATGCGTATGACGTTGAAAAATATGTTTCAACAGATAACAAAAAAACGCTTTTGTCACCTCGAATCAAACTCATGGCTCTCACCCTATAACGCAAGCGTAGAAATCACTTGGTCACAGAAGCTGCACTGCTTAATTTTTTGCACCAATAAGGGAATATTTTTGTCCAAGGGGCAACATACTTTCAGGGTGTTTGAAACACCCTAAAAACGTAGGATGTAAGGAGACGTTACATGCTACTTTTACAGGTGTTTATAACCACCCAAAACCCATGTGGGTGTTAGGTCAAGCTATACCCGTGCGAGTGGGGTGTAACTTATAAAAACACTCTTAAAACGATGACAGGGACATGTATAAGCAAACGCGATCAAATGAAGTGCAATTGACGGACAACTAAAGCAGAGACACACAGGAGGAAATAATTTTTTCTGTGTGCCTCCACTTTTGTATAGAACAGTTGAGGTTGGACCACTTGGTGATGCATATTTGATAGAATTTAGTGTCATGAAAGGGACAACAAAGAGGAGACACAGCAGGACGAATTGTTTCCTCCTGCGTGCATCTACTTTTGTTGTCCTTTTAATTGTGCTTCATTTGATCAAGTATTTTTATGCGAGTAACTGCCATGTTTCAAGGGTGTTTTTATGTGTTACAGCCCACTCGTATGGGTGTAGCTTGATTTAAAACGTATAGTTTGGGGGTGCACATACACACCTATAAAAGCAAGGTGTAGCGTCTCCCCTTAATGTAAGTTTTAGGGTGTTTCTAAACACCCTAAAAGGGTGTCATTTATGGGACAAAAATGTACACTTAAAGGGTGTAAAAATTTTTGCAGAGCACGTTCTTCAATTTTTTTACCGACGAGTTGAATATATACATTATTGCGCTGGTGGCACGCAATTCTCGAGGGCACTTGTTTTCCTTATTACGAGGAGATCACATGAAGAGCGGGAAGGCTGCGCTTTAAATGTAGTCGCACGCTCATTGCAATGCACGCGTGCCCCGACGTGCACTTTGCCCTACAGCCCGTCGTCCACCGTGCGCGCGCACTTCTCTCATGTTGAGAGCAGCTTGTTCACCTTACGTTTTCGACCTTTAAGTTTACTTTTACGTTACAAAGTGCCCAAAGGTCGATTCGCTGGCTGCAAAGGCCACGTTTGCTAAAGAACCATGCAGTTCCTACACAAATAAGCAACTACTGCATTTCGAGAGCTGTTCGCACTCATCCTGTGTGCATGTGTTTGTGCTCTTTCCCTGTGTTATTAGTAGTTGAACAGCACGCTGAAAGACTGTAACTACTTACCACTCTTTGCGTGACAATAAAGATTGTTGCTATCTCATTCATTGTTTTGTTCCAATGACTAGGCGATTCATAATAAACGCTCAACTAGCTGTCTCAACACAACCTTACATTTCACGTTATACCAATTTTTATAATGAAGAGATCATCCTGGTTTTTTTTCATGTACTTGTTGATTACCGTGCATAATATTTTACACCACATGCAATACACAGGTTACTATAAAGGCGGATTTTCAATGAATGATAACTCTCACACAACACGGCATGTTACGCTATGCGTGTCTATCTACCACAGTAAACATGTAGTATTCTTTCCTTGAGATCACCTCCTTCATCTCGACATTAACTACACCTTTAGAATAACAATATTATGAGCATTGTACTTTAATCAAACTTCTTCCAACCTAAGCGATATTTTAGACAAAGCAACACGTCCTGCAGCATGGGCACCGACATTCAACGGCTCTACTTTAGATTCAATGTTCTCTCCATTTACTCGTGTCTTCATTGTAATCAGAAAGGGTTCTGAAAATATGACCCTTTACTGAATAGTTAAAACAAAGATTCTGCTTTATCAGCGTCACTGCTCCAAGTTCGGCAAACCAAAATATCACCGAAAGTACTGCCTACCCGAGTCATGGTGGTTGCAACTCATTCCTCAGCCGCTGATCACATCGAGAGAAAGGAGATAAGCACCACTGTGATAGCCAATAAGCGTGCGCTGGTGGCTGATATATACACCGAGTGTGCATGTTGTCTTCAGCATGCAATATCGCAACATGCGTGAACGTCACAACAAACGTGTTCTTTTTTTTCGCTTCTAGCGCCTGTACCGACTTGTTTGGAATATTCAGTTGGGGATACTGCAACTTTGTAGTTTTCACACACATCAAATTTATTCGTACAATTTTCGCACATAAAATTTTGCTTGAACAATTCATTTTGGGCTACACGTGCCAGAATTTTCCGAAGATGAAAATGAAAGAGGCCCAAGTGACCCGCACCTGCCTCTATACGTCTTTTGTGATGAACGTTTTAACAATCGAAGTCGATTCACAGTGTCGTCATGGGAGTGTAACAGTGAGCCAATACGAAAACTTAGAGTGTCATACGTAGTAAGGCTAGAATCAAACTTTTTTCACTATTATTTAGCGTATATCTATAAAACGCCGTTTTATGCGTATAGGAACGCGTGAGGAAGCAAAGCCGTTTTGGCGCTTTCCGTTGAAGCAATGCAAGGTTATGAAAGCACTCCCCGTACATAGGCCATTTAGTGGTGGCTGTTGAGCACAGTGCTTTAGAGAAAGCACCTGCACGTGCTCTACCGAGTGTGCCCACGTGATCAAAGTACAGTTGCTACTCGAGTGATCCCAAAAAGAGCCCCTTCTTACTCCTTATACCACGACGAAAGACGGGCGAAACGTTTTACCCTTGAATAAGGTCCGTCTTTGACAGGCCTCGCGACGACACAATCCTATCTTATGTGGCCTTCGTGCAGCAGGGACGGCTCGCTATTTTCATTCATGCTTTAGCCGCGTTGGCTTCCGCGCCCATATGAATTTACTAGAACTAAGAAAATACGATCCCCCAATTGAAGTTATTCATTTGTACTTTATGCTTCAAAACACTGCGACAGGGAGGGAAAGAACCCCTGAAAGTGCGCCTATAATTGCTATCGCCAAAGAAAGCGTGATAGGGGACATAGCATAAGTGAAGCAACGCACAGCTCGAAAGCCGAAGCTTTTTTCAGGAGGATGATATTCACGCGTGTTTCACATACAAGGATTTATTGCTGTACAACTAATTTTTCGTAAAACCTAATTACAACATTGAATAATGATGGTGATTCCACATTTATCTCAGCAATTTATGTATAAAAAGTGCCTTTTTACGGGTCTTGGTTGACTGAACTCATGTAATGTTGTAGGATGTTTCACTGATAGGTTTGGCGTCATAAGCATTGAGCGCTCAAGGTGATCACTAATATTC